GCCCTTCCCATCCTGTAAGCACCCATGTCTCATGCCCCAGGGGATCATACAAGATGCCCCACAGTGGGGTCTAGAGGAAGCTTGTCCACCCCAAACTGGCTGTAATCCTGAAATGTGGCCACTCCTGTCCATTGGGTTTTGGTGTTGTTGCCATTGTCAGAGCTGCTGTGGCCATGGGCTTTGCAACGTGTGCAGGTCTGAGTCCTCCAGCAAGCCCAAGGTTTGTAGGAGACCCTCCAAATAGTGCCAGTGGGCAGCCGGTGGGTGGGTGGGTGAGCATCCAGCACAGGCTGGCACCGTGGGGGGCTGGCTCAGAAGAAGGGTGGTAATAGAGATGTCCAGGGAAGAAAACGCCAGAATCACCGAGATCATGGACTTTGAAACCTGAACTGCACAGCAGCCCTTGGAAGACTTTCCATTTGCTTTCTAAACTTTCAGGCCTGAACGTCAGATCATTTGCCCAGCCATAAATAGCTGTGAATTAAACAGGCTGTGCTGCTCTTTTAGCTAATAGATATGTCCACCAGCGCTGCAGCGTTATCTTCATATCCCACTGGTGTTTGCATTGTAGATCAGGAGCTCAAGCTGACTTTTTCTTTTTTTTAATTATTTTTCAAGATTTAAAGAGCTGGCAGAACATTTATTCAGTTGTGCAACCTCCATTCAGAGTATTTCTCAGATCCTGGGCATGGGGCTCATTTTTTATCCTTTGACAGCTGCTGTAAATCAATAAGGCAGTTGGAGGTCACTTGTAGTCAATCAGTAACCGGTGCTGGCGAGGGGGAAAACACTAAATATTTGGTGTAAAAACACAGGCTCTAAACTCGAAGTTCTCACTCAGGGTGACATTTTTGCAGCCTTGGTTTTGGCAGCCTGGCTCCATCTAGCTTTGGTGTAGATACCCAGCCTGGCCATGATCTTTTCCTGGTAATTATCTACATGAGGATTTCACAGCACGTGCACACCACAGGAATTGCAATGAAAGCAGGGCACAAGGTGCTTCAGGCAGAGGAACTGGGTCTCGTGGTACAAGGTGCTAATTTGGTGCCAGCTGAATTACTCCTTCTCTTTGCAGGAAGTTGTTAGGTGTTGGCATGACCTTGGTCACAGCCACCTCCCTCAGGAACTGAGACCCATGGCCAGGCAGTAATTCTTCCAGAGGTCCCTAATTCCCTTTGAAACAACTGGGAACTAAGCTCTTAAATACCTCTGCTGCCTGAATCATATTTCAATGGCATCATCATCTCTGTTTGGTCCTAGTCCTGAAGCTGGGTGCCCATAAAAACTTCTGCCTGACCTCATCTCAAGCCCCTGCAAGGAGAACACACTCGATTTCCTCTCTCCTTTGACCTCAGCTGCTCTGGTTTGTGGTGAGGCAGGGTCCCATCTCAGTCATCAGCCAGCCAGCTCTCCGTTCGTGCCAACACAGTGCCCTCGTGCCCAGCACCACGGGCTGTGTGATGTGTCAGGCCCTGTCTGTACTTCTGGATGTGCTCTAACAGTCCCCGTGCAGAAGCTGCACGCTGTCACTTGTTTGCTGCTAGTTTGTCCCCCTGTTAATAGAGCTGGGCTGCACAGATGGTTTGCACAATAACCTGTGACTCATTTTCAGTTCCACATGCTGGATGGTTTCCACTAAGGTCTGGCTGCAGGGTTTGCAGATTCACGTGTTGCACTTTTCAGCTTTGCTGCAGAGGGGGAGGTGGGCACTCCCTGTTGGTGGCAGCAGCTCTGTGCTGTCCTCCTGCCTCCCTGATCCATCCCCCAGCCCTGGGAAGCTCCTGCAGGTCTCAGACCCAGCTAAGGTAGCTCTGCTCCCTTTCTGCTTCCCGGGCTGGTGTCTGCAGGAAATGCTGCTTCTCTGGTGTCCACATGTGGAGAGGTTTGATGGTGGCTGATGGCTGTGGCTACGTGGCTTTGGAGGTGGCATCTTTCTCCAGCTCTTCCCTGGAGCCTCAGACAGGTCCTCACGTTCCTTCCCAGCCCACTGCCGCGCAAGGAGAGGAGTCAAGCAAGCTTCTCCTTTTCTCTCTCTCCTCTTGTACATTTAATACAAACTTTAAACATTGGCATTTCCTTCCAGCTTTCTGACAACCTTGAAAGACTCACCCCAGAGAGCAGGATGGAAAACTGAGTGCATGAGCAACACAAAAGGGATTTTCTGATCAGGAGCCACATGCAAGTGCCTATTAGCCTTGCAAAGGCTTTAACAACATCCTCCAGTGCCTGGCCCTCTGCGTAGGCTTTCCTCAGGCTGGCTAACTGGTCAGACTTGAATTTTAGGCTTCTTAAGGGTTTAATAAGAGGCTGAGCTAAAATACTAGCTTTGAGTGGAGCGGTAAATTCTTCAAGGTCAGAAGGTGGTGAGGCTCAGGGCTGGGGTCAGGGCCGTGCCACGGGGAGGTACGGTGCTCTCAGCTGGCCAAGGATGGATTCCCCCGGTCAGGAGGCGAGGGGATGCCCATGGTGGTGTGACGGGGCACAGCCTCACGTGCCCCTGGGGGGCTCCCCGTGGGGCTGCTCACATCCGGGATTCACCTCCTCTGCACGACCCGTCGCTGCGGGGCACCCAGCTGGTCCCAGCCAACGCGCCCGTGTGGCACCCCAGGAGCCCGATGGACCGGCCCGATGCGCAGCAGGGAGCGTGTCCCTGTGTGGGGCCAGGGTGACGGCTGGGTTTGGGGTTCCCCCACCCTGCCTCGTGCCGAGGGGTCATCTGCCCGGCACAGAGCACTCCCGCAGACACCCCGGGGCTCGTGGGCAGCCTGGCTCCATAGGCTTGGGCAGAAGCTGCAGGAACATGGCCCTACCGTGTCTGGAGCTGGGCTGGCCTGTTTGGTGTCCCTCACGTTGCCACGCTGGAAAACTGACCCAAAAAGTCCACTGGGATTCCCCGTGGAAGCAAACCCTCTCGCACCAGGACTGCTTGCCCACACGTGACTCCCTGCACAACCCTGGGTCTCAGTGCAGCAGGTCACTAGCACGCTCACTGCACCCAAAGTGTAGGTTTTATTCCCAGGGATTTAGCTAGGAGCAGAAGTTAAGAGACTGCATTTTGGACCCCAGGCTTAAGCACTGTAATGTGCTAGCTGGAAAAGCAATGGATGGTGTGCTTTTTGCTCTCGGCTATGTTTGCATCCCAGCTCTTCTGGAACACCCGGGTACATGTCTCCCAAGTCACTCCAGCACTCCCACACTTGCAAAATCTTTGAGCTTTTGGGAAAAAAAAGACCCATATAAAGCCAGTCTCTATAAATCTTCATCCTCCAGTGCCTCTGTGTTAGAAAGTATGGCAAGAACATGCCACTTCCTACGTCTTGCTCAAAAAATGACAGATGAGCCATCAAAGCAGCAGCACTTGCCACAGCCAGGGCTGTGCCAGCAGGAACGGGCAGCGGGGCTGGCATCTCCTGCCTCTAGAAAACACTCTTCACGAGCACATACACAAACGTTACAGACCTTTAACTGGAGTTTTTCTCACATACACTTAGGAAAAGTGCAACAAAACCCCAAGCAGGTATTTTCTTGGCCAGCAAGTCTGGTCCAGGCTCCTCTCCCTCCCACACAGCTTCTTCTGAAATTATACAAATAACTGGAGATTTAGATCCATTCCTGTTGCCAGAGCATTATAGACATAGCCCAAGCTCAGATCACTGGGAGGGGTGCCCAGCTCTCCATCATGCTGTGGTCTCTGCCCATGGCTCAGCTGCTGGTGCAGAGCATGGAAAGCCTTCATGGGAACCACAACTGGTCCCACATTCAACGTTGTTCCTCTCACTCTTATTCCTCCTCCCTGTGACAGCAAAATACTCAACGTGCTCCAGGGGGTTTAGAGCCTTGCACATCATGCTTAAGCCCAGCATTTGGCTGCTCAACTTCCTTCCCCCACCTCTTATCCTGCCCAGCCTCAACACATGGCTGCAGAAGCAGTTGTGTGCCCAACACCGGGCACCAGCCTGGTCCTGCCGCCCACCCCGCAGCAAGCCCGTTAGATGGCACCATGGAGTAGCGCTCACTGCACCTTCCTTCCTCTTACCCAGACGTGTCTTGACACCGGTCCAGCCCTGAGCTGGGCTTTTGTGCCAGGCAGAAAGCTCTGGGCAGCACCGTAGGAACTCCCTGAGCCAAGCAAAGGAGGAACGATGGTGATAAGCTCGCCGAGCCATGCTCACCCCTCTTCCCTGCAATGACAGTCCTTAGCAGAGGCAGGATTTTTCCAGGATCAGCTTTTTCTTTATTTAAGGATTATGTATATATATATATATTTTTTTTTTTGCATAGGCAAATGTTACATTTTTGGACACACAAATGTTAAAATGATCAATCCTATGTGTCTGCACGCGCTCACGCCCACGGCCCGTGCTGTCTGTCTTAGGGTATTTATTTATATGTGTATATACAGAGGCCTGGTGGAAAACGTTTTCTGTGGTTTGAAAGAGTGCTCTGAAAGGGTCACATTGATAAATGCCTTTAAAGAGTCTCCACTCTTTAAAGAGTGTGGCTGCGTCTGCAGCTTTGTGCCTGCGCAGTGCAGCCTGCAAACTGTGTGTTGCATTTGTCTAGGCTGAATTTTGTTTTGACTCCTCTGACTTTACTCTCTCACCTATAAAAGCAGGATTTCTGATGAAAATAAGCAATAAATTGCTGCGTGTGCTCAGGTGTAAAGGATTTGCAAAAACAAGAGAGCTGGCAGCACACTGCTGTCCTGCCTTGGAGTTTTTGTGATAGGCAATACATCGATTAGAACTAAAACAGGGAAGCACAACGGCATGAAGGAGTTTGCTGACCTTGTTCTGCTGACAGAAAAGTCATTTTGGGGTGAGACTGTGCCTTGAGCTTCTCCAGGGACTTGTTGTCCTGGGCATAGGATCAAGGGAGCTTTTATCTCCAGTAAGGATTGCAAGACAGGTAGTAGTTGCCATTTAAAAATGAGGTACAGTCCAAAGGAAACTGCTAGGAAAATTTCAATTAGAAGAAGCAAATTCATAATGCATAGATTGGTTAAATGTGCACAATTGTAAATATAGACAATAATTTACAGGCTTTTCTCTTGAAATATTAGTGCTGCTGTGAGGAGACAAGAGTGTGACTTGCTTATAATGACTTACCATAACACTTCTATACTGTAAATGAGAGAGATTAAGTTGACATTATATGTTACTTAGCTGCGTACCAATTAGCTAAACAAATGCTATGAATTCCGTCATTTAGGATGGAAGCTACGTAAAAATTGTGTAATTACTGCAGTGAGTCACCTAGTTAAATGGCACTCCTCTACGGACGAATTGATTTCGGTGTGAGATTAATGCCTCTTGCTGCTGTTCTACGTGCGTGCCAAAGACCATACTACATTGTTGCTAAGCATCATTAATGGATTAAAATAAGGGTTCTGCATAATTCCTACAGTGTATCTTCCAACAGCTTGTTTAGTTGGTGCACTAGCCTAGCGCTTGTTAGCCCTACGTAACACACGGGTCTGGAAGGCCGACACGTGTGGAGGAGGTTAATGCAATCCTAGGAACTCTTTCAAAAGCTCACAGGTTTTCTTGTGGATGACTTCGCGGAGTTTCCGCACGCGCCGGAGGCTGGAGGTCCCCACAAAGCTGTCTGGCTGTAGGACAGCCATGCCGTTGTGGACGTCTCCCATGATGATGAGCTGGCCGTCCACCGTGGTCATGTTGGGACACGGGCAGCTCCAGTCCATGTTCAAAAGCGTGATTTCTAGTGGTTCCCTCCCCAGGAATTTTAATCCCATTTTTTCATCTTTGAGAATCTCCTCCACTGTCACCAGGGCATGTCCCGAGTCTTGGTCTTCGGTCAGCTCCGTTATGCGGCCCAGGATGACAAAGTCGCTTTTGCAGAAGCTTGTCACCAGCTTCTGGCGTGGTTTGCAAGCTTTGCAGTGTGTGTTCTTTGGGAAAGGACACATCTCTTCGCAGGCCTCCCGGCTCTCAAAGTTGTTCTCGTTGCCTCCACACCCACCATAAATGAAGGACTGGCACTGCTTTGTCAAGCTGTTGTAGGCCCATCGGGGCTCATAGGCCTTGCAGTGACCTTGGAGAGCTGGCAGATTGCAGATGTTGATTGGGCCATTCATGCACGTTAGCATACAGTTCTCATAGGTCTCAAAGTGGTTGAGGTTGCTGTTGCAGTTCCCATAGATGAAAGTAAAGCAGTTGTTTTTCTTTGCGTCATAGTACCACCTGGTCTGCTCTTCCCCACAGTCCTCGCTGTCCGGGTGCTTCAGGCACTCATCGGTTGGAAAATGTGTTTTGTTTTGGGAAGCTTCTTTGGATGTGGGTTCCCCTTTGATGACTGACAAAGGGAAATCAGCCCTGAGAAGGCCACCGCTGTTTTTGGCAGTGCAAGTGTAGATGCCTGCGTCCTGGAGCTGGGTGTTGTAGATGACCAGTTGGGCGATGTTAGTGACCACGACGTTCCCTCTGACGTGATTTGGCTTCATAATGACTTTGTCTTTCCCATCAACCTGTTTCTCCCACGTGATTTCTGGCTTGGGTCTCCCTGTAACATCACAGAGGAAGCTGACGGTCTCTCCCACGTAGACTGACTGATGGACAGGGTTGTTCACTAGGACGGGTGGCAAGATATCAACGACTGTTGTCTCAGAATAGGCAGTAGTAGGGCGAGCTGTCGTTTCTGGTGGGATAGGGCTGGTGTTTGGCCAGGTAAGGTGGTACCTACAGGTGACAACGTTCAGTGTAATGCCTTTGATGCAAGCTTCTGCATCCATGTAGCACTTGTTGTAGTAGGTGAGCCCATCGGAGGCACAGGTGAAGCTCGGCTCCTTCTCACACCTGTCCTTGCACTTGCAGACGGGTTGCCCATCCCATATGTCACACTCTGAGCCTTGTTGGATGCACATGAAACGGTCACAGGTGGCTTCTTTGGGCATTCCCACCGGCCCTTTTTTCCCCTTGACATCCATGTACCGAGCTGCCACGCAACTCTTCGTTCCACAGACGTTGGGGCAGCACTTCTCAAAGGTCTCGCACTCCTGTGGGGCAAGAAAATGACCCGATCATTACTGGGGACAGAGGAAAGGTCTTTTTACAGACCCAACAAGCAGAGAGCCCAGAAACATCTAAAGTGTTAGCTCAGGGGCCTGATCTGCCCCAGGTATATCTGTGTTCTGAAACTCGGTGTCCCCACTGGCAACGAGCAGAAATATCCCCCCAGCATCTCCTGAGAGGTTTCTAAACACATGGGGCTTTCTGAAGCGCCTCAGGAGAAGACTCTCAAGAAGGAAAATGTATTTTTGTTTATTAAACACTAACCTCATCATAAGTCTTTCATAGAGTCACATGGACTGCTTGACTACCGAACCAACAACCCCCCTTCCACAGTCTCCAAAATGCCTGAGGACAAGCCCTGAGAAACAAGAGCGGATGGAAAGTCTTATCATATGGCTGTAGGCAGTAATCCTTCTTATTTTCCACAGAAGTATGTAAAGTATTATTTGAATTCCCTGAGACTAACAGTCTTCTCTTGGAGGTGAAACTGCCAAGGATTTGCAATTGTTCACATTGTGGGGGAAATAATAGAATATCTCAAAAGTAAGGAAATTCTTGCTCCAAAAATAATTTTTCTATGGTATTTAGGAAAACAAACCCAAAACAGCTCATTATGGCTCCTCTGTCCTATTTTAGTCCTATTTTCAAATGCAGCATCGCTCTTCTAGTGATTTATTACACCCTGCCTCAGCTACAGTCAGCTCTAAATTGTGGTTAATTTTAGGAGAATTTTCATCTTCTGGGCAGAAAAGGTATTTGATGTGTGCGATCACAGCTGCTGTGTCGTTACGTGTTGTGCTTTGAAGGACCAGGAGTACTGCTGCCATGAACCCACCAGGGCAACACTTCCACCCTCTGTTAAACCTCTACAACCCCCCTTGAAACCCAACCCAACGGCTTTCTCCATAAGTGAGAACAAGATGTTTTTTAAGCCACCAAACGAAATAGCTTCCCCTGGGTCCAGTATCCTTTCCTTATTGGGAAAAAGATGACCTAATAACGTAACTCTTTCACCATTTCCAGTGGCACATTACTAGCTTTCAGAAGCCAAGTCAGAAACCAGACCGGGTCACGTTTTCATCTGAGGTTGAGGAGTGTGGCTTTAGCAAAGTTGGTGGCAGGGTCCTTGGCTACTTGCAGACTCCTCACTCCATGCAAGGTCCCAGGACTCCATGCTGCCCCAAGGCAAAAGCGAATCTTTTTAGCCAATGGCTTCTGGCTTTCAGGTTTTGACCAGTAAATTATTAAAACAACGTCCTCTGCTGCTGCTGGGGTTCTGCAAGTGGTTTAATGTTCACTGCTGCACCTGGTAGTTGAAATAAAGGGGGCTTGTTTGGGAATGGCAAAAGTAAAACCAGCACCTTCATCTACCACACATGGGATCCATCTGAGCAAATCTCTTTGTTTACTTGATGGCCAGCCTTTTTCTCTATCCCCTCACCCCCCTTCTCCCCCCAGCTCCTTTTAGCATTGCAGAAACAACCTGGCTACAGAACATAAACCCAGTGCCTTTTTTTCAGCGTGGTACGTGCTGCTGTCAGCCAGGTTTGGGCTGCAGGAGCTTTGCCGTCAGACATGATGTAAGAGGCAGGACGAGCAGGTATTTACAGATGCCAGCTTGAGCTGGCGGTGCTGACAGGTTGAAAAATGAATTTTAGGGTTGTAAACTAAGCACATTTTGAGCTGGGAGCATCACAGAGAACATCTGCCCCGTCATTTTAACCATGCCCCTGTTTTGCACGCTTCGTGTGTCGAGCGCAGCAAAGGCTGATGCTTTACACGTGAAATCAAACGATTTCAGACACGATTCCTCCCAGGAACAGAAAGCATTGATGATGGCCACCACCACCACCAAAGAATGTGGTGACACTGCTAAAATGCTATGGATTGACCCCAAGACAGGCTGAGTTCTGGTGTATCAAATTTGGCCGTTTCTTTTGACAAAGAAAGCAAGGAGAACGATCAAACAGAGGGAGTGCTGCACCCACCCTGGTGTAAGCGACAGCTGCCACCCACCTCCCCACCGAACTGATCACTCAGCAAACCTTTGCTATTTTATATAGGTCACGGGTCAATTAAATACACGCCGGTGCCGGCGCCTTTTGCTCTGGAGCAGAAGCAGAGCGTGGTGCCAAGCAGCCCACCAGCAAACCCGGCGCCCGCGACGCAGCCGAGACAAACGCGCGGCACTCACCAGGTCGGCTTCGCACTCCCGCTTGCAAGTGCTCTGCGCATCCACCCACAGGTTGGGGTTCATGTCATTGGGGCATATCCCAGCGTGGGAATACCGGATCGGAGGCAGAGCTCTCCCCTTCAGAGAGACCTCCAGAAGCAAGAGGACACTGCTCTTCCCCAGCAAGATCCACATCCACCGAGTGAACAGCACCAACAACATCTCAGAACTTCTCCAGGGCAATGGCAGTGACCGAGCTGGAGGTAGTTCTCGTTTGCCTGGGGTTGCTTTTTGGGTTGTTTGTTTTTTTTTTTTTGGTAAGCCTTAAATTTTCGAGGAACCCAAATGCACCTGATTTCTGTAAAAACTTCAACAAGCTCCTTCGCTGCTTCTGTTGATAGTGCAGATTGGTCTGGACCTCATTGGATTAAAGGTCCTAGGAAGTTACCCCCTTATTTTAAGAGAAACGCCAATAGTCTGAGCAGAGTTAGCTCTATTTATACCCTGCCTCTGTTAACAAGTCAGAAAAAGTAAACTTGATTTCTTTGACAGGCACACGCTTCCTATGTCCTGGTGGCAGTCAGACAGATTTGTTGCAAGAAAAAAAAGCTGGAAAGAGTTCAAAAGGCTGGAACTGGCACGGTGGGACCCCTGCATGTTTCTGAATGCAGGGAGGCCTTCTTAACCCCTTTAGACCTAAAGTACTTCCCTATGCTAAGAATGGCATTTACTTCTGAAAGAGTACTTGTCTAAATAACACGGACCCACGGTCAGGGGATTTCCCCACGGCAAGGGGCTACACAATCACTTGCTAAAAGGAACAAGTAATAGGATTGAAGCAATTAAAGCTAGAATATCATATTTTAACCAAGGAAGGAGAAAAGAAATAACTTATTTAAACTCGGGATCAACAAAGCAGTGTGTCTTCGTAACTCGTCCCAGGGCTCCTCTGGGCTTTTTTCTTCTCTTTGGTGGGGAGGTTTCCAGGATGCTGGGTTTAATGCTGCCCTCCAACCTCACCAGCAAGATGTTAAAAATGTCCCTGAATTCCTGCACATTTCCTGACAGCCAGATCCCATTGTACAGTGCATTGCTGACCCCTTTAACAGCGACAACAAAAAAATAGTAGAAGTTCAACTCTATGGAAACCTGCATAAAGGAATGTACAGCATTTTTGCATTGGGGGGTGGAGGGGAAATTCAGTCAAGCTGAGTTCCTTGTTCCCTGATTCTTATAGCAAGGGGCTGATCCTGCTCATGCTGAACACGTGCCAAAATCCAGAGACGAGCGGCAGAAGTCAGAGTTGCTCAGCACCTTCCAGGATTAGAGCCTTTGGGCTGAGTTCTGGGCTAGCTTGGACAGATCCTGCCCGGTGCTCAGAGCCTCCTGGGAGGACGAGGTAGGTTTGCATCCCACGTGGGGTCCAGCAGGGCTGGACCAGCAGCACTGTGCTCTGGGAGGAGGGAAGGTTCCGCACCTGCCCAGGGCGCTGCAGGGCTGACGGACCCGGGCGCGAGCCACCCTTACCTTGGTAAAGTTCTTCCGCTGGGTTTATTAAACCAGGGATGTTTTTCATGGCTGAGTTTGGGCCTAATTCTCCCCTGAGTGATGATGGCTGCGAAGCAGTACAACCATCAGCGAGCTGGGCCACCCTGCAGGCGATGCCCCAGGCCACAGAGCCCCTGCGGCTCCCCCGGAGCAAGGCAGCAGAGCACAGTGACCTGCTGCTGTTTCCCAAGAATCGCCTCCGAAAGGAAGCGAGAGCAACCTGGAGCTGACCTGCCCTTGGCTGTGGCATTTCTGTGGCAACCCGGGCTTACAAAAGAGGCTCTAGCAGTTTTGATTTGTGTGACCGCATTAACGATATGCGCGGTATTTGAATTTCCTACGACGTGAGGAGAGAAGTTGTCCAAATTAGCTATTTATAAGGAGCGAAGTCAACTGCCAGGCAGCAGTTTGCAGTTGATTTATTCCCTCTGAAACTTTAGAAACCTGCATGACACTCGTACAAAGTGCGGCTGTGCGCAAAATGTTTTATTCAATACTTGTTTACAAAGGCAAACGCAGCACCCTGTGATGCCTAAAAAAGCCAACCAAAAATGACACATTCCCAAGAGGTACTTAAAATTCTTACAGCTCTATTAACAACAAAATCACATGTATTAGTGGTTCTGTTGACTAAACAAAGACACTTTATATTGTAAAACTGACTACAGATAAGCTTTGAAACCAGCTGTATGTGGGGCTGGAGGAGTGCGGGTGTCCCAGCGCTGGAGGGGCAGCTCTGGAGAGCCCAACAGCTGCCCCACGTGCAGGGCATTTGCCCTCGGTCCGTGGCATTGGCACCGTGTACCCACAGATGTCATTTTTCCCTGCCATCTGGAGTCTTTTGGGGCTGTTTTACTCCTCTACCCGCTGGGCCAGATGTGGGAGCTGGTGAGTCCACGGTGCTCTTGCAGCCTCCATCTCTTTTCCTGGTGCCAGAAAGCCACCTCCTTGCAAGCTTTGGCCATGTTGAGTGAGAGACCCACCAGTGGACCCACTCTAGATGGGATTCTCTTCCAAAGAGAAAAAAAATAACACTATCTTGTGGGTTTTTTTCCCCTCCCAAACCAAGGATCCCTTGCCCAGAGGCACACTTCAGCTGTGGAGAAGCAGAGCGGGGCTCTGAAGAGTCAGACGCTGGTTCACATTAGACATAGAGAGCAGTCTTCTGTTCTGCTGTGCACTCCTCCATCCAGAGGGATATCCTCCAAGGACAGGCAAGTCTTACCACAGCTTTCTGCTTTTGGCTCCCAGCTATCACGTTCAGTGCACAGTGGCCAGGATGGTGGAGCTCAAGAGGCCCAGGTGAAGGAGCAGTTGCACGGGACATGCAGCTCAGCTGGTTTCATTGTGACCCTGTTGCAGGTCAGTAGGGTTGTTCAAGGAAAGGGCATTTGAAAGGCTGGATTTGATGTATAGTCACCCCAAACGCTGGCAGTGCTTGGCACAGCAGAGAGGGGTAAGTACATCCCATAGGAGCTTGGGAAAAGGGCAAAGCAATTATTAGTGGCAACGATGTTTTTGTTGGACCACGGTACAAACATTATAAATGAGTCACAGGAAACCCATGTTACCTGAGAAATCATGCTTGCAGCAAAACGTTTGTATAGGAAGCCTCACAGGGACTCAAATCCTGGCCTAATCCAATGGAAACTGGACAGATGCTGTACCTGTCTGACTCCCATCACTCCAGGAACAGGGAATGCTCAGCCCCATGAAGGCTCAGACCCTGGGCCACTTGAACACAGTCTGGAGAGAGAGGAAAACAGCACCATAAATCTCCCCGTGAGTGCGGGCAGGCAGCTCCTGAGGTCAGAGGAGGCAGCGAGGACTCTGAATAACCCTCAACAGCTGCCCTGTCCCTGCCAGGACATCCCAGACATGCTGTTACCCAACCTGAGGAGCACGGCCAGGAGGGGACACTGCTCTGCAGGCTGCCCTGGGTTGGCTTGGGGACACCAGGGACCTTGGCTGTCCCAGGAGGGAGAGCCAAGCTCTGCCTAATGCACTCAGTACCTCCTGGGTTTCACTGAGGGCTGTTTTCTCACCTGATTTAGAGTAGTTTAACTCTCCTGACCTCAGTGGATCTTACTGGGTACTCCAGAACAACACCAGCTAACACCAGCTGTGAACTGGGATCTTTGTCGGCGTCCCCAGTATAGTTTTTCCGTTCTCTCTTGTTTATAAAGCACTATGCATTTTTTTTTCTTTTCATATAAGAAATCAAATCATTCTTATTCCCCATTTCTCTGAACAAATTTCCTTTGAATGCCAAAATTATGGTTTGTGTCATCCATGTCAGATACTGATGTGATAAAGATTTTCCTAAATGAGTTCAAGCCCTGGAAGAAAACCCACTACTGCCTCCAAACCCCCCGTTCTGGTCAAGGTGTTGATCTGAGTCTGTTGGACAGGGAGCTGGGATGAGCTTTCTCTGCATCTCAGAAGAACAGACCTGAGCCCTGATGGCACAAAGCAACATCCTGGATCTGCTCCCAGCAGTGGGGACTCGTGGGCTCTGACCAGCCCATGCTCCACAGATGTCTTTTTGACGCTACACTAGAGTCCTCAAAAGCCCTCCAAGGATGCCCAGGGTCCTGGTTAGGGCTGTGGAGCTAGAATTGGCTTAACTGGTGCTGGGTTTGGTAAATTATAATTTCTTTGCCCTTTTTCTTATTCTTGCCAAACTCCTATGGGATGTCCCTGCCCTTCTGTGTTGATCCAGTGATTAGTGTGACCTCTTCTAATCAAGTAGGGAAACGGGATTCTCTGATGCACAGCAAAGTAGAATTGTGTTGTTGTTGTTTTTTTTTTATTTAAACCACCATTAAAGGAAGAGCAAACTGTTGCCCATTTTTATTAGGCAACACGAGCTCCTCAGCTGGAGCTGCTCAGCGGATGGCCGGACTGATGTGCTGGTTTCCTTGTGGAAGGCTCCTGGCAGGAGCCGTCCCCCTGCAACGTTCAACCTCCCATCGATCTCCGCTGGGCGGAGGGGCCCTTCCAGGCTCGGCCCCTGGGCCGCCCGGGCCTGCCGCCACTCGCAGCCAGTTTTGCCAACACAAACAGAGCCCAGCCCCTCTCCAGGCACGGCTCTGATTCACCGCTGCAGGCTCTGGTCCCTGAGGCCTCCCTGCTCCTCCACTCCAGGCAGCAAGAGCTGGTACTAGCTCCCTGCATGGTTGGGCTGGTGATCTACCTCTTCTTCCAGAGAGGGCACTGAAACCTGCCCTGCCTGCAGGCACTCTGACCACACAGCCAGCCCCAAGGATGTGCTCTTCTTCAGCCCCACCACCAGTACCGATGCTCCTTAGGTGGTCCTTGTTCATGCACAGATGAAAATGCAATGCCTGAACAGAAAAGTGCTTTAATCAAACTCCTCTGTCTCATTTAGAAGGTAACAATGTTCCAGTCAGTATGTGAAGCTTATTGCACTTAAAGCTGAGAGCCAGACATTTGAGAGGGAACGTTGCTGCCAGATCTCTCTTGGAGCACAGCTGCCTGCCTCGACTAGTATTGTTGCTTCCAAACCCACACAGAAATCCAGATGAAGCCTTGGGACCTCGGCTCTAGCTTGCTTGGGACTGCAAAGGGCCAAATCTTCTTCTGTGAGCAATGCCCCACTCCCAGGAACCTCGGCAGGGCCTGCTCAGGGGACAGCCAGGAAGCCCAGCCTGGATGCCTCTCCACATCCCTGAGCAGAGTGCACGTCTCGCTCTGGCCATAAGCTTGGCCAAGGGAGCAGCATATTCGGCACCATGTGATGCACCTCCAAACATCAAAGCAAGGGCCAGGGTTGCTGTGCTGGCCACACGCTCTGGAAGGACAGATCAGGGATGAAGCAATGCAGCAGTAAGGGTGTGTCTGGGTCCTGGTTTTGGGCTGTTCATGTCCATAATTAGCAGTAGAAGCATATTTCGGTGTCCCCCTTGGTGAGACTTTTTATCAGGGTGCCCTGTAAGTGCCAATAATTAACCAGTGCTGGTCTTGCCATCTGAAATAACCCATCGGAGCA